TTAAAATGTTGTTTTATCAGGATTGTTTTGTGAAGTCTTTATTCTAAAAAGTATTCAGCGGGCATAAATGTTCATCAAATGCATAAAATCAAAAGAATTTTGTAGACCCTAACAGTAATGTCTGTTGCTCTTCAGAGCTCAAATTTTGCTATCTTGCTTCTCCTCATACCTACAGTTCTCCAGCCTTAAGATCTTAGCCCCAGTGTCCACTTGAGAGAAAAAGGGCCTTTCAAATGTCAAACATAAGTACAATGACCATTTTCTAACTTCCTTCTTCCAGATACTTAGACATTTCTGGGATCATAACACAGGAAGGAAAAAAAAAAAAAAAGCAAAGATGACAAATCCAGTTTTCCATTTGCCATCTTTAAGTCTCAGGGTAACTTACTTTGTTGAGGTTATAAACAAAATGACAACAATAAGTATTTTCTTAATGCTTTCTTCATGGCAAGCATGGCTAAGCTTAGATTGCTCTGTTATTCTAGAGTAATCCCTTGCTCTGGAATAAAAGGAGTTTCTGTATACTGTTGATTATGATAGTCAAGGTGGTAGTGCCACCATACTTCCCCAACTAAGCAAGTGATTTAACCACCTTCTGAATGTGGAAAACCTAAGAATAATGACAACAATAAATACTTTTTTCTAGTATGCCATGGCACAGTGAATTGGATCATGTTAGGATTCGTATGCTGCCTAATGCAATGTAACATAGCAGATAAAATAAATCAAATTACTCTATTAGACTTGAAAGATGATAGTCTTGTAAAGTAACTGATATGAGAATGTCAGTGCAGTAGATTTCAGATGTTTATTGAAGTCTAGAATATTTGAAACCCAACAAATGCATATGAAACAAGTGACTACAAATACAGCGGTATGCTTCCTACTGACAAAACTGCTGCCTGAAACAGAATTCAACTAAATTTTATGTTTTCTTTGTGTGCTCAATAATTTTTTTTCATTTCTGCAAATGCTTCCTAGAGACATCGGCTTGAACTTCAAAGTGTACCACTACGAATGCTTTAGTGATTATCGTGGTAGCTAGACTCAGAATTTTTAGTTATAAAAGTTCAGTAGTGTCGACCAAAGATCATTTTAGGTTTTCGTGAGTTAGGATTTAATAATATGGATTCAATCAAATAGTATCAAAAATATTTTTGATTGTTTTTAACATTGTAATAAAAAGTTAAGTTTATTGGGATAAATTTTAAGGAAGGTTTTAATTTATGTTTTTTTCTTGTATTTCTTTCAACTGTTTGTTCATTTTGAATGCTTTTAACAATTCACTTTGTGTGATTTATTACTTGAGTCTTTAAAAAGTTGATCTGCTAATTATCTTTCAGTAAATAAGTGTGGAGTTGCTGTTAGGGATGCAACCATTTAGGAAGCTTATGAAGACATGCCTATTCTCTTTACTTAAAGCTGTGTTATGTTTTGTTTCTGCTTTGTTTGCTTTATGAAGGCAGAACACTCAGTTCTCACTCAATATACAGAAGTTTAAATATTTTACTTTATTTGATCATTGTGATGGCAATCGTGAATTAAATTTTTCAAAAAGGCAAAAATTGGTTCAACAGAAAGGTTTTTTTCTTTTTTTTTTATATCTAAAAAAGGGTGCAAGCACCTTTATTTATAAAATAACGTGTGGCCTTCCCAAATACAGTGTTTATTCTATAAAAATATAATGCATTTTCTTAAAGTTTACAAATAGTTACATTAGTGTGGTGGGTTGACCTGGGCTGGATGCCAGGTGCCCATCAAGCTGCTCTATTACTCCCCCTCCTCGGCTAAACAGGGGAGAGAAAATATGACGAAAGGCTGGTGGGTCGAGATAAGGACAGGGATATCACTCACCAATTACCATCACAGGTGAAACAGACTCGACCCAGGGAAATGAGTTTAATTTATTGCAAATCAAAAGTCAGAGTAGGATAATGAGAAATAAAAACAAATCTTAAAAACACCTTCCCCCCACCCCATGCTCAACTTCACTCTCGGTTTCTCTACCTCCCCCCGAATTGCTCCAGCATGAGTCCTTTCTATGGGGTGCAGTCCTTCAGGAAAGGACTGTTCCAGCATGGGTCCCTCATGAGGTCACAGGTCCTTCCAGGAGCCTGCTCCAGCCCTGGCTCTCCAAGGGGCCCCGGACTCCTTCAGGCACATCTGGTGTGAGGTCCTGGGCTGCAGGGAACAGCCTGCCTCACCATGATCTTCACCACGGGCTGCAGGGGAAACTTCTCCGGTACCTAGAGCACCTCCTCCCCCTCCTTCACTGACCTTGATGCCTGCATAATTGTTTCTCTCATATATTCTCACTCCTCTCTTCTGGCTGCTGTTCTGCAGCAGGGTTTTTTTTTTCCCCTTCTTAAATGTTATCACAGAGGAGCTACCACCGTTGCTGATTGGCTCAATGTTGGACAGCAGCAGGTCCATATTGGAGTTGGCTGACACTGGCTCTGTTGGACATAAGGGAAGCTTCTGGCATCTTCTCACAGAAGCCAGCCCTGCAGCCCCCCCTGCTACCAAAATTTTACCATGCAAACCCAATACAATTAGTTAAAAAATAAATTAAAAGTAGCTTCTTCAAAAAAATTGTCTTCTGGATCATATTTTTATGTGTGTTCTCAACAGCAGAATAACAGTCTTTGAAGAATAAGCTTGCATTTATGAAAGGGAGGTGCCCTTATTAGTTTCTGGATTTGTTCTCTGCTAATTTTAATTATGTAGGAAGTTTTCAGTGTCTTATAGGACAGTGTTAAGGACATTTGGGTACTATGACTCTAATTTTGATTTTGTAAACTGTTTGGATTTCTTTTAAGTTTAGCTTCTGTGAATAGTTATGAGTTTTAGAGTTCTTAACACTTGTTCTTCATATTATTAAAATGTTTCTCTAATGTATCTTCTTCAATAATTGACATGTATTCATAATTTGAAATTAAAGTTGCAGTTAATATCTAAATAAAAAAAATAACATTGGTGTTTGGTTTTTGTTGTAGGTATTGCATGATAAAACCAATAACCCCAAACTAGAACAAAAATATAATTAACTTACTTTCTCTGTGTAGCCCACTGTTTGTGAACGGGAGCTCTGTGTATTTGCTTTCCAAACATTAGGAGTGATGAACGAAGCTGCTGATGAAATTGCAACTGGGGCTCAGGTAGAATTATCTAATGCTTATTACATGTCTGATTTTCTATAGTATACTCAGTCTTCTCAATCTCTTCTAGTATTTATTGAGACTTGTATTCCCCGTATAAGTACTCTTTGGTAAGTTTTATTTATTTGTCCACTCATAGCTGTAAATACATGGCATTTTCAAACAGTACTAATGAGGTGCTTCCATTGTTTTGCTTCCATGTAATTAGAGTAACCTTGTTTTCTTGTCCTGTTGTATTCAATTAGGTCACCTGGGTTGTTAATAAAGGCAGACATTGTCATTTGGAGATAATTTCAATTTTTTTTTCACCTAATGAGCCATTACTACTCTCATGCAATTAATAAGCTACTTCCTGTTCATGGTGTTAGGATGCAGCTATCCACTGAGCATCTGCTGTTTTGATCATTAAATAACAGTGGGAAAGTCCTTACCGATGTTGCTACATAGGTTTTTTTCTCTTTTCTCAAGGATCAGTAATTTAATGTAAGCTTGCTTCCTGACTCTAAGTTCAGTTATTAATGAAGTTATAACTATATAATTGTTTTCTTTCATAATTTTGGATGTGCCTTAAAACAAAGTATTTTAAACTATGTTTCCAAATCACATTTAACCTTAGATTATAATAGTTACAGGACTTCAGTATATTAAAAAATTAAAAGATCTTATATTTAAAATCTTTTTATCATCTTAAGTTAAAAATCTTATGGAAAAGTGCATTCCTCTCTAATTTCCTAAACGTGTCACTCACTGTGCACTTACGTAGTAAGCAACATGGGTTTTGGAAGAGCAAATGTTCAGTTCAGTTAACTTTAACAAGCACTAGTGAGTCTAGCCACTAGAAATAAGCTATTCAGCTAAGTGCCTGAATACCACCTATGGGCATATTCTCAAAGGAAGAAACTTTCAGCAGTGTGTACCAGCTTCTTCACTTGAGTATATAACTGTGGGATCTGAACATCAGCTCATCTGACGTCTGAAGACAGATGGCTATGTTTGCAACATCTAGCATGCCAAACATTGGGATACGTGTGCAAGCTTGTAAGAAATGGAAAGAGGTGTGCTGATGAAGCCCCACCTCTTCCCCAGCCTGAAGTCCTCTGAAGACCTCAGCTATGTGTTTCTGTGGAGCTAGAGTTTTATTTTTTGAATGTAAGCACTTACATGGTATTTAAGTACAAACAAGTATCTCTCACTTTTTAAATACAGCTGACAGGAGAGGTTGTCCTGATTAGCACTCACTCTGTTTTATATAGGTACCACTGTTGCAGGCATATGCGAAGCTTGCTCTAGATCTCTAGAGCAACCTCTACATCTACAGAGCTTTGCTGAAGAGTACTGAAGTGATTAAAACCTTAACGGTACTTAAAAGAGTTAGATAAGAGGTTTTGTCGATTGTCCCATTGGACCTAGATGACTAAATTTTGCTAAGTTTCACTCTAGTGATAACATTGCACCCAGCTCACCACATCTGATATGGTTGAGCTCCCATTCCTGTTTGCAGAAAAAAATTCACACAATTAGGGTTTGATTCATCTGAGCTATTTTTGACATCCTAAATAGGATGGTGTGAATCACAGCATAGGCTATCAGCAGAGTGTTTTTTTTCTCCATCAATTATAAAGAGAGCCTAGGGTGACGAGTAAGAAGTAGGTGTTTGCATTGTGAATCTCTACATTTCATCAGATGAATCTTCCTCCAAATCATTCTGTGTAGTGAAAGAGCCTAAATATAGGTTCCCATTATTAGAAATTACATCCTTTTCTTTCTGCTGTGCTTTCAGATAGTTTCCTAAGGTATACACCCCTAATTTGTCACTCCAAATATTCTGACGGTTCCTTCTTAATAATAAGAGATTGTACTTTCTAAAACTTTCAAGCCTGAACTCACCTTGCCTTATTTTAGTCACATAGTCAAAATGCCTGAAAATTAAATGTCTGATTTGTTGATAGTTCAGACTCCTTGTAGAGAGTCTCTGCAGAGAGAGAGGCACTGTCTGAGAGACTGATGTCGTAAGAGAGAATTGTCGTCAACAAGTGTCATCTTGTCCTCCTTTAAAACATTTAAATCCTAACTTATGTACTTCAGTACCTACTGTTAAGGAGAAGTTCAGGCCCAGCTATAAAGACATTTACTAGATCCACAGCACTTCCTATTACCAAGGAATGGATACACAAGTCTGTGTTATAATGTTTGTATTAGACTTACCTCCCAGTTTAAGTTGCTCTGCATTCCATCAGCTCTAAACAATGATCTCAGGGGAAATCAGGGGTTTAATTAAGCCTGATCTATGCATGTTTTCCCCCATGTCAGAACAATATGCTGGTATCATGGTAAGAAACAATATAGGAGTCAACAGTTGTTTTAAAGGAGGGCTTTGGGATGTTATTCTAAGAACTGGGCCAATTTTAAGACAAAGTCCCATTGTGCAAATCATAAAGCAAGACAAATTTGGGTCACTGTATTAAGAGGTTTGGGGACTCAAACAACTCCTCCCTAGTAGTGTTTTGCAACCGGAGTTTAAGAAGTGCTTCTGAAAAGCAGAGTGTATGAACTCAGGCTCAATTTCATGGTAATACATTTACACGGTTGCAGACCTGTTGCCTGACCTGGCTGTTTATGCAGACTCCTGGTCTCCTTTGCAAACGCTAATGCAGATACCCTATTTTGAAACATTCATCACACTTGTAGGTATTATAAACTGGAAATAAATCAGAGCACCATGGAGGAAGGAATCATTATTTAAAATCTTTGTTTTTCAATATATGTAAGATATTTAGTAACTGGAGCTAACAGAATATTTTTAAACTGATGGAGAAAATTGTCAATTCAAGCTAAAGGAACAGAGGAGAATGGCAACAGCATGACTCACTGTAGCACAGTTCCTTTTCCCTTTCACCATGATTCTTATTTTCATTTTGCTCCTCTAAAGGACCATCAATTATTTTACTCTAAATGATCAGGTACAATGGCAGATATATAATAACTTCTAGAACAGCTTGAGCTGTGAGATGAGACCTGATCCATGTGGAACTGTGGGAGGAACCAGGGACGCCTTCTAAGTACAGCTCATCTCGGCTTTTCCCTTCTTTCATGGAAAAGTCTGTTTTCACACAGGAATGTTTTCAGAAGGCATAGAGAACCCGGGGGAAATGAGCAAATTTGCAGCTATGTTTTTATGCAGCAACTTTGGATTTCATTATGAGCTGGATTTAGGTTTCACAGTCACCAGAAAGCTGCATTCTCTGTTTTGTGATTGCTGTAGTCTATTTTTAACCTCTGAGTTACAAATTTTGAAACAATTATACAGAAATTTGTTGCTAAGTTGTATACGTTCATATGTGCACATATGTGAATGCATGCCTGTGCACACATTACATGCATGATTTTATGGTGAAATCTTGGAAATTATAGGTATTCAAAGCCATGTCATAATTTTGTACAGCAGGAAGGAAGGAAGAGGATCTCCCAGTGTGAGCCATGCATATACCTGTTAAATCACTGCACTGTTCTGGCTTTAGCAGAAGCAATGTTTGCTAGTGTTTCCATGACTGCAATCTTCAGAAGAACAGCAGGCAGTGGTACAGATTCACAATCCCTTCCTCTTTCTTGAGCAACATTTTTCACTGGCATCTACTGCACAAAGATACACAGATTCAGCACAACTTCATTTCCCTAGAGAATTAATTTCATCCAGGAATTAGCACATGTACACAAGAGAAAGCAGGACTGTGTATATATATATATACACTAAATGTATTTGATGTTATAATACATTTAGAACCAGATATTGGACCTACTTATGCACCTGGCATAATGCATCCAAAGCGTGTTGAGGTCAATTGAAAAATTTCAGTCCTAAACTATGTCCTGTGGATAACATGGTTTGGGTAATATAGATAACAATGAAATATGGTATTACTTCAATGTGTAAAAAAAGCAGACTGGATGATACGATATGAAAGTACATATATTAAATAAATATTTTTCTTTATCCCTAGGTGGTTGATCTGTTAGTATCCATGTGTCGGTCTGCATTAGAGTCACCTAGGAAAGTTGTCATTTTTGAGCCATATCCTTCTGTAGTTGATCCAAATGATCCTCAGATGCTGGCCTTTAACCCCAGGGTAAGTAGTTGACTTTCATTATGTCATAGCTTGGTTTCAGTCATGCATTAGATTTCAAAGCAAAGCCTTCTTCTGGAGGAGTCTCCTTTACTGTAAGAGATACAGTTCCAGAATATAGCACAAGGGTGTGACTATTTTCAGAACTTTGTAGTTTTTTTAATTGTCTCTGAGAAGGTATTTGTGAATAAGCTGTAAGCTGCATTCAAAGTTATGTTGAAGCCAAGAACTTCTTTTAGGTGGAGCCCTCTAGTAGTGGTCCCCAGTCAGAAGGTAGACAAGGGTCAGGGTGAGGCAGAGGGGCAACTGAAGGACCTCTGAAGTTTTATAGAGCTGTTAGCAAAGAAAACCCATCTGCTTATTCAGCATTTTATTTAAAATCTATTTGTTCACTGCATTATTTAACTTAATAGCATGTTGTCCAATAACTGGCAGAGCCTATGTTTAGTTACAAATATTTGTTTAAAAAGTGACCTAACTTTTTAAGTGAGTCACATTGTTGTGTGTTGGGGATTCCAGTGAAATTAAAAGAAAAGCCATCATGATGATAATACTTTTTTCAGGGAATTTTCCTGGACTATGAATGTCTGTGTGTAAGGTGGAAGGAAGCTATTTGTTAGAAATGTTTGAAAGGATTGGTTTGCTGAACATTTGTCCTAACTTTGGTTTTATACACACTCAAAGAATTCAGGTTTTTGTTGAGCCAAAGACCAATATTCTTTTAACTTATTTGCTTATTTTATGCTACATCAGAAGAAGAATTATGACCGAGTCATGAAAGCATTGGATAGTATCACTTCTATTAGAGAGATGACGCAGGTGAGTTTAAAAATCTTTACATAACTTAATCGCCATTTCTAGAACTAGGAAGATGTTTTTATTGCTTGCTTGTGATGAGTGGGGAAGTCAATAGTATCATCTCTTTCCTATAGAGCTGTAATAATATTAAAATGCGTGTTAAAAATAGCAAACTAAGAGTGTCCATAACAGCAGTCAAATAAAAGTGATGAAGTAGAACTCAGATCTTTTGAAGTTTAAATAAGAGGTAATAACAGCAAAATGGGACATTATAACAAGATGATCACCAACTGCTGCATTTCTGGAAATATCAAAGTCAAACTGGGTCTTTTATTCCCAAAGCAAAAGAAATTGATTTTGTGTCAGTGTTCTGAATTATAGCTTTATTTCTGTTATAACAAAACACTTGATCAGCTAAGTATGGTTGGGGACATGGAAGGTTGGGTCTCTTGGGATTGCTACCATACAATTTCTCAATATTCACAGTGGAACAGAATCTGATAGCCGTACTTATGTTTATTGTTACAGTTCCTTTCCCAAACAGCCCAGCTGATTATAAGTGATTACTGAAACCTCTCCTGTGTACCTTGCTTTTCCAACTGTTATATAAATGTAACCTCAGAAGAGTATATAAATTTTATTCTATATGTATATGTAAAGTACTTTGGGATTCTGGAATGAAGAATGAGGTGCATAGAGAGCAGTAAAATACATGGAAAATTAAAATTCAAAAATTTTTGTTACTTAATGTAACATCTTGTAAAAATTAGGTATTTCTGTTACCTAATATAATGTCTTTAAAAAAGAAAAATTACTGCCATTTTGCTTTTTTTTAATGTTAAAATAATTCTTGGACTGAAGAGTTTTAAAGGGATGCTTTGCACTATGATTGAAATCAAGAAAGGTTTTCAAAAGGATTATAAGATGATACAGTATTTTACTTTACCAGTTTTATACCATAAAACAGTTAACAAATTGGAGTGGAATATCTTGGTGTCACACCCCACTCACAAGAGATGGGGGGGAAGTGACTCAGATTCGCAAATCCCCAACAGTGTGGACTAAGGTGAGACAACTCTCAAGGTCCGTACAAAAATATTTATTAGATTCCCACAGTGATTAATAAATGTCTTAACTACGTCCACGATAATTGGTTAGGTATATAACAAATGATGGCAAATGGTTAAACAAAGTATGGCAAGTGGTAAAGTACACCTTGTGTTACTTCGCAACAGATACACACCAAATTATATCATGAGTTATAGCGAATGGTAAAGTATGCCTTGCGTTACTGTCCTGGTTCCAGCAGGGATGGGGTTAATTTCCCCAAGGAGCCGACAGGGGGCAGGTATTCCATACCACGTGACCCATGCCAGGGCTATAAGAGGAGCTAGCCAGGGAAAGGACAGCAGTCGCCACCTGGGGGTGGGCTGTGGTGGTGCGGGTCTGCTCGGTACGCTTCGTGGCGGTACTCTAATTGCGTCTTCATATCCCTTTATTGGTGTTATTGTTTTGTTTTCATCTTCCCTTTTGCTGTTCTGTTAAATTGCATTATTTTAACCCACAAGTTTTGCCCTGTCGATGTCTTTTTCCACAGCTGTGGGAGTTGAGCGAGCGGCTGCGTGGTTTTTTGTTGCTGGCTG